TTCATAACTAAGCCCATGCCCATCACCAAATAAGCCAAAAACTCCTAAATCCATAAAGTCCACTACTGGCCTAATTTTCCAAATTAGACCCAATCCCAAAATGGCCCACAAAGCCCAATAAGGCCCAATCCATCATGGACCCAACCTAAGAAGGCCTAATATCCAAAAAGGCTTGAAATACTGAATGATCAACCCGAGTCAACACTTGGTCAAAGTCAAAGTCAACGCTCCGAGTTGACCCAACTCGTCGAGTTGTACCTTAACTCGTCGACTTCCCCTTAAGGACAGAATCGCGATGTCTCGACCCAACTCGTCGAGTTTCCCTACTACTCGACGAGTTGCCCCCTTTTCATCAGAATCGAGATAATATGCATACCAACTCGTCGAGTTCTCCAGTTTGCCAAACCCATTTAACGTATTAAGTCATTTCTCTTGAATCCAAGGACTCCAAACCACATATCTCTTCCACATTGATGTCCAGAAGGGTAAAGTTTCCAACTTTACCCTAAAGAACCACTCATTAATCTTCAAACTCAAACCCTAGGTTCCTTAAAGAGGGTCTTGACCCATTAAGCCCTTAAATTCCCACTACAACGTTCCAAAACACATATATGGTGTCCCAAAGTGGGCAAATCACGTAAAGTTTCCGACTTTATGCCATTGCATGCTAGAAACACCCTCTAGGGCTCCTTTATGGCTTCAAACTGGACATATTGCATGAATGGAACCTAGAGGCCAATAAAGTTTCCAACTTTAAGCCTTAAGAGGTCATGTAGGGGTCAGATCTACTCCATCAACCCCTGGAAACCTCTTCTCTTAGGACAACTCAACCAGAGTCCCAAAACTCAAGCTAAAACTTCAAGAAAGGAGATCTAGTTAACTACAAGTCAAGGTGACAACTTTATACCTTAAAAATGCCGCCATTGGTGAAGTGTTTTTGGATCTAGTAGCTCTTTCTTGTATCCCAAGCTTTCTTTCCTTCCAAGTGGATTCAAGCACACACAACACCTTCAAAATGGCTCACAATCACTCAAAAGTGCCTTAGGGTTTCGAGGTTAGGGTTTAGGACAATGGAGGCTGGAAATTAGGCTAAGTCCTAAGGTTTAAGTTGCTGAAATAAGGTACAAAATCCCGGAATTAGGGTTTCGCAAACCCAGTCCAACTCGTCGATTTGGTCCTCCCCAACTCGTCGAGTTGGTTTTCAAATCCCCACGTGCCAATATAATCCTACTCGTCGAGTTCTCCCCCTCCAACTCGACGAGTTGACTTCTTAAATGGCAATTATCTTTCCTTATTTAGCCTTCTACATTCCGGGTGTTACATAAATGTGTAATATAATGTCTTCTATTCTTTCCCTTAAACTTGTAGATACTATTTTTCCTAAACTTAATTCAATATATATTCTTTATATTAAAAAACAGAGGTCAAGATTTCATGATACTAATGAGTTATTCGGTTCATGAATAATTGTTTATTTATTCAATTCACAATGTAAATTTATTACTCAATTCAAGGTTTCCATCGATGATTATTGAGTTGTGTGATGAACTTTGTTTTAGTTTTGGAAGATATAAATCTATTATTAAACTGAAAGCTTTAAGATTATTATCTTAGAACATGTTGTGTGATTATCTATAAACTGCATTTATGTATAATTGATTTTATGTATAAATGCATACTCATTTGACTTATTATATGTATAAAATGTATTATGTCTTTGTCAAAGGTACAATTTGTTTTTCCAAATCTCATGCATACTTTCCATTTCCATCGCTAAATCTCAGCCACAAATTTAGAAATTAAATTGATTTTGGTATATTACTATGAAAGAATGCCATCAAATTTATTGAAAGTTAATCTCAAATGTGAGTTGCATCTATTTTTCTTTGGTTTTGAAGCCCAACAGGAATCAAGAATGAATCTTGAAATTCTTTAACTATAAAGAACTTATATTTCTATGTTTATTGCACAATGATTGAACATGCTTTATTTGTTTATATCTACAAAATAATGTTGTTGGTTTAATAATTTAATTACTTTATTAAAAGAGTAGTTTTTGTGTATTTCATTCGTAAATTTTTATTGTCTTTTAACGTTACTTAGCATGAATATATGCTAAATATTCTAGTACATTTTTTCAATAGTATATTCCAAGCTTTTAAAAGTTTTTTGTTTAATATTTTGCAGATTTTCTCAAGTTATGGATGGACACGTGTATTCTATAAGAATGTTTATAGTGTATTCTATCAGAATGTCTTTATATAAATGTATTTTTTAAGAATGTCTTTGTAGAACTTTTTATATGGTTTGAATCAAGTGAACTTGCAAAAATGAATTCACTCAAGTACATTTTGGATTCGAAGAGAAGACCAAACACATTCTTGATTCGGCTAGAAGATCAAATGCATTCTAGATTCTAGTAGAAAATGAAGTCATTACATGTAGGTGAGGAGGATTCTTACAAGAATTTCAAAAATCTTCATAAGATTTTTTATTCTTATGATGTATTTTAGTTCTAATTGTATTTTCATTCATTTTCATAAAAGAGTAAAGTTATAATTGTATTTAAATTCATTTTTATAAAAGAGTAAACAAAGTCTTAAAGAATATATTTTATATTAACATTTTTACTATTCAAATGATATGTTATTTGACTCATCATTGGGGAATGATTGAATAATGATCTCACATTCATTCTTAGTGGACAAAACCTTAAGCTTTCACGAATTAAGAATTTTTATTAGTTTTATGGATGACATTCTGACATAACATTATTATAGAACTATTGTTCTAAGAAATTAATATTCTGATAGAATAAAATCGGTTTTTGCATACACGTTACGTTAGAATTGAAATTGAATTAATTAAAAAACTCAGATTTTTTTAATTCAAGATAATTAATTGTCTCCTAAAATATGGAATTTTCCTTTTTTAATTTATGCTAATTGACTAAAATACCCTTAAAATGAAATTAGATGGTATTTTTCAATTAACTTTAATTCAATAGTATTTATTAATCACTTTTTAAAATAACTAAAATGACTGGTTCATAATTAACTCTACATCCACACAATAGATAGTTAGAATATAATAACTTAGGCCCTAAGGAACTATCATAAAGACTATGGGCATGAGCATAGTAGAGATAAAGTTGCTAGTACTATAGAGATTTCCTATACATCTTGTAAGTATTATAGAAATTTAACATGGCAAATACTAAGGCCACAATCATACCTCATTTTGTGGCAGTCAAATGTATGTTATGGTATGCATTAGCCTAGGTATTGCTCATGCAGTGAGAGTTGTAACCAAATTTATGTCACATTTGAGCAAATAGCATTGGAAATAGTCAAGTGGTTGTTATGCTAGTTCAAAGGAACTTGCGAGTTTGCATTATGTTTTAGAAAAAAGAAGGTAGACTTATAAGGCTTTAGTGATCTAGATTTAAGAGGTTGTGTTGATTCGAGGAAACGCACCACATGTTGTGTGTTTACCATTATGGTACAACCATCAACTGGAAGTCCAAATGACAAAAGAGTATTGCTTTATCAACCATATAATATGAGTATATAACTATTGTATAAACTAATAAGGAGCTTATTGTTTAAAGAACTTCCTGTCAGAGTTTGGCATGAAACAAGATTTTTTGTCCTGTATTGTTATTACCAAAATGAATTTCACTTGACAGATAATCAAGTGTTTCACAACAAAAAGAAACACACTCAGATGGGGTCAATGGTTGTGTTTAAATAGATCCCATGTACATCTTATAACCCTAAGGCAAAAAGCGAGTATAAAGGCTACACTTATAATAAAATCTCTTTTTAGTTTATCAGTGAATTAGTCAATCATTTAGATCGTGTGAGCCACGTTAAATTAGTGCGTTTTTTTTTCTTCACAACTTTAATTGTCGTGTGTGTGTGTTTATCCCTTCTTGATCGTAACAAGATCATCAATAAAAATAGTCATTCACTCGAGTAGATACTTGATTGCCAATCTTACCTTTTCATTGGCCCATTTGATATGCTATTAGGTTTGGTGATCATGATGATTACGGTTAAATAACCTCGCTAAAGGTATCTTCTTTCATTATCCTAAACTTAAACTTTATTGAGGTTTATTTTTATAATTTTTTGTTTCTTCAGTTAGTATATATCATTGTCTATTGTTCAATGAAGTTTGACTATTTATATATAGGAAGTAGTAAACAATCAACTAACATATTGCCAGGTGCTAATTGCAAAGGAAGTAGTTTATACCAAATTTATTCTAATTTTTAATTTGACCACTTAAGTTTGAGAATCATCAAAAAATAATTGAACTTTGTAAGGAGATATAATGATGATATGAAATGTAGATAACAATGGTCGTAGCCTTTATGAAAAGTAAACAAGATAGTCAAATAGCCCTTTTTAAAGGGAACCCAGAAAAACATCAACATTCATCAATAAATTTAATTAGGTGGCCAGAAAGTTGACTTCAATTCGATTCAATTCAATACGATGCAGACGCCGTTCAAAAAAAAAAAAAAAAAAAAAAAACTACGATGTAGACCAACATATAACCACTTTGTATTATTTTACAATTTGATAAAAAAAATTTAATCATAAATACTGTTCATAAATATTAAATGCTTTAAATGTGTTCTTTCAATTTTAAGACATAGATAATAACGGAATTCTATCGACCAAAATCACTAAAAGCGTAAATGAAACCATACACGAGTATATCATACATAATAACATAAAGATCATTAGCCGTTCAAAAAAAAAAAAAGATAAAGATCATTGGTTCAAATCCGGCATCTTTTGATTGCCATCAATCACCAGAGTTGCATCAATATACCGATGACAAAAGATTTAGTTCACTACTAACTACGAGAATGAATATCTGTCTTGGGAGAAAACAAACATCATATCTGCTTAGCCTCCTTTCTTTATTTGTCCGTCCCAATAGTTAAAACTGTGGAGTTAGGAGATTTCATCCGAAATTAGTAGGGTTTAAGCCCAAATAGTGTCCCATAATGAATCTTGGTCAAGATAGAAACTAGGGTTACTGCTTTGAAAGCTTTCATCAGAACCAGTTACAAATCCGTCAAAAGATTGGTGAGATGATGATTGTGGAGATTGGCCTGTTTCAATGCAAAACAAAGCTGCATATTGACACTGAATATTGAATACCTCAGCTTGAGCTTTGGCTAGTTGCGCTTGCAGTTCGTTTACTTGGTTCTGTAGTTGAAAAATGGCACCGGCACTTCCATATACAGGGTCTCTAATTCTTGCGTTAGCCTCGTACACCATGCTACTAACTGCATCACCTCTTTGAGATTCTGGTAATTCCTAAGAGTTTAAAATGATGTCAAGAATCTGATAATTTAGATGTGTAACATTTTATCTTTTACAAATTCAAATTGTTCTTAAACAATGATCATAAAATATTTGTAATGTTAGTTATGGTTAACAAAATGTTTTATAAATTTGACTTCTAAAATATATGATATGCATATGATTATTATTTACGAATTGTCGAATTCGGTAGAGAATTATGTTTATAAAACAACTATTTATAGAAGTATAAGTAATTAATATCTTGGTGTTTTCTTTGAAAAGTCATCCGATAAGACATACTATCGACATGGTCAGATACAAAAGAAAAGACAAGTGAAGCAGACTACTTGTAGTTTTTTCTTGATTTTATAACTTTTGGAACCATGTTGGTCAATGAGAACAAGTATGAAAAGACATTTGAAATGCGAGAGCTCATTAGCAAACTGTGGAAATGTCTTTTCGCGACAGGATTTTTGATAAATAAGGTTTGGCGGGGTGGTTGACCCTCAACTCCTATTCTAAATTTAGCATTTTCAATTTTGAATATTTATGTTTGTTTTAAAATTTCATTAATTTTATTAAAATATAAAACATTTCATCATTTTATATGGGCATTAGGATCAATAAAAATAAAAAAATATGAGGATGTTTAATTTCTCTTTTTATTTCGTTCTATTTATTAAGTAGATCATGTGATATCATTTATTTGTGTTATCCACTCGATATTTGAAGTAATGGTTATCAATTTATTTTTGTTATTTTTGAATCATGAAATTGTGACGGAATTACTAGGGCATATGTAACTATATATGGTTTGTTTTGGTCCTAAGTGTCATGGCGTAGCTAAGTGGTAGGTTTGTCTCCTTTTCTAATCTTTTGTAGTTGTATATTTAGCATCTCAATAAAATTATAATGGATTTCAAATGTTAATGAAATTAGGTAGCACTAACGAATTGAAGTCATTTGCGTATTAAAATACTGTATTTAACTATTTGCATAATATTTTCTTAACTTTGATTTACCAATACGCCACTTAAAATTACGTTTATTTTGTTTTAAATTAAATATGATATTTAAAAATACGTGATGATTTTATTAAAATGTTTAATCATACAGTATGACATTCAAAGTACAGCCCTTAACAAAGTTAACGCAAATGATGATTCCATAAAGAGCGAGTCCATAAAATCCTTACAGAGCATTACTATACTGAAAATTTATTTATACAATTTTCATACCTGTAAAAACTTGATTATGTTGCTTGAACCAAATACACGATGAGCCATAATGAACTTGAGAGGTTCATCCGGAGGAAAGTGAGGTGCCAGGACGCATGTTTCCGCACATCTCCTTCTTAAAATCTTACAAGCCGCACAAGGTGTCACTACAACTGACATAGGAGGAGAGCTTGTCGATGGTGAGGAAAGTTTTGGTTGCAATGTATCTTTTGCATGGTGGCTAGCCATCTTTCTATTATTGTGTGTTTATGAGAGAATGTAAACTATTGTATAGAGATCAATAGAGTGGGGATAGATTGGATTGTTGTGAGTACGTGAATATATATAGAGAGAGAGGATGAAAGTGAAACAAATAAATTCTAGAAAGTTGGTGAAATGGCCCAGGAGATAGGTTGACCAGATAGGGAAAGGATAGGGAGGTACTTTTACAATCAATAATGTTGATTAATAATTATTTGGTTTATACATCATTATTCGAAAAATATCATTAATTTCATTCAGCCGAGGAAATAATAAGGCCTCTTTTGGTTCACTAGATTCAGGATGAATCAGGAGGAACTGGAAAATAAATTATCTTCTTTAAATATGCTTTTAAATATGTTTGGTTAACCGAATCACAAGAAACTAATATCTTGTGTTTTTACGTTCTGTCGAACGAATCCATTTATCTAACCGAATTGAGTATTGGTATCGGATTTAACATGTAGTTTAAATATGTCATCGAGTTCAACACCATGTTTGTGTAGATCTTTTTTTTGCCTCCACAATGTTGTTCCATACCCCGTTGATCTTACTATTAACCATATAATTATTAGGTTTGCCACTTAGATTATTAATGCTTTTTATGACTCTGCCGCATAGTGAGTCACCGTCCGTCTTCAACCACCACCACCACTTAATAATTAGAACAATATTTAGTGTTATGATTGATCCTACACCCAACCCCCCGGCTGATTTTGAAGCAATGACTTTATCCCAGGATACCCAGTGAATCTTCTTCTTGTCATCGCTTCCACCCCACATAAATTTTCTACGTATTCGTTCCAATGTCTCTGTGACTGCCATGGGTGCCATGAATAGACAAAAGAAATAAGTGGGTAAGTTTCCTAACACCGAGGTGATTAGTGTCAATTGCCCACCGAATGAAAAAGTTTTAGACTTCCTACAGGACAATTTGGCGGAGAATTTATCAATGATCAGTTTCCAATTTTTTATGAGATTCATATTCGCTCCAACAGGGACCCCAAGAAATGTGAAGGGAAAGGATCCCACTTTGCAACGAGGATATTGTCCCAATTCGAGGTCTCATTTACTAATGCACCAATTCCGAATACTCTTGATTTGTGAAAGTTTACCTTTAGTCCAGATGCAACGTGAAAGCACCTCAAGATCCGAATCAAATTTTTAAGATTGGATCTCGACCACTCACCCACAAAGAGTGCTTCATCAGCATAGAAAATATGAGTTAAAATGGGTCTGCCATTAGGTAGATGAACATCCATAAAGATTCTTTTGTCCCTAGCCTCCATCGAAACAGCATTGAGTCCTTCCATTGTTATGATGAAGAGAAACGGGAAGAGAGGGGGTCGCCTTGACAAACTCCTTTTGAAATCTCAAACTCATTAGTTGGGGAACCATTGATAATAACTGAAGCATGAGACGATTGTAAGCATCCGCGAATCCAAAGACGCGATTTATTATCGAATCCTATCTGTACAAGGATAGAATCAAGATACCCCAACTTTATCGAGTCAAATGCTTTATCTAAGTCCACCTTGAATAGCAAAATTTTCTTCTTCACTTTCTTAGTCCACGAGTATAACTCATTGACTATCAATGAACCATCGAGGATGTTTCTTCCTTCAACATACACATATTGCACATTACCAATGACCTTGCCTAAAACCATTTTAAGACGTATAGCTAGTGTTTTCGAGATGATTTTATACATACATCCAATGAGGCTGATAGGATGAAAGTCAGATAAAGAGGAGGGATCTTTCACCTTGGGTACAAGTGTTATAAATGAAAAGTTGCATCCTTTTGCAGTGGTACCAAAATTATCAAAGTGCAGAACATAGTTTATCACGTCAAACTTCTCTCGTTATGCTCTTGATACTAGGAAAAAATGCACTATGGCTGGCATATTTTATGAAGGTTCTTTTGTAGGTCATTAGTGATCTTGTCCTCACGAACTAGATCTAACTTCAGAGCTCAACAACCTCCAGAATAACTTGTCTTCGGTACAGCTGGTCAACGGTGCCGATACTTGGGTGTCCTCCTTAGATAAAGATGTGTTATTCAAAGTATGTGACCTAAGAAGGAAAATTGATTGCCTCTCTGACGTAAATCAAAACATCCCCATAGTTAAATGGAGCAAGGAAGTACCAATCAAAGTCAACTATTTCACATGGCGTGCAATTCAAAACAAGATAGCTTCGATGGTGTGTCTTAGAGCTACAGGTATCGAGACCCAAATTATCATTTGTGGCGCATGTATCAATATAGAAGAAGATGTTGATCACATTTTGGTAAAGTGTCTGTTTTCCAAAGTGGTGAGAGATAAAATCTTCAACGGGTGTGGCATATAATATTAATCGTTCAATAGCATTGATGAAATGCTTGGTTTTTCTGCAAAATGGGGGAGAAGTCTGAAGATGAAACACCGTTTCACACAATATGTTATGTTTTTTCTGGTATCTATGGAAATATCATAATGACCGGATGTTTAGACAGGTGTTCATTAAGCCATCGTATGGTGTAGAGCAAATCAAATCAACATTATTTATGTGGGTTAAATATAGGGGTAATGGCATAACCTGTTCATGGGATGAGTGGTAATCATCTCCATTTTGTATCTGATACTTTTTGTTCTCTATGCTTTGTTGCTCCCTTTAACCCCTCGATAGTTACTTACTAGTCGTGGGTGTTTTTTTAATAAAATTTGACATTTCTAAAAAAAACTAATTTCTTGGGTTTATATTGAAATCAACAAATAAAAGATTTTCAATTACTTACTAGTCAGATATGGTGTGGAATGTAGTTCCTATCTCTGATTTTCGATAAGCAGCGCAAGTCCACGAGACCTTGGTTGGGTCGGACCTGTGAGTTTGGTTCAACAAATAGGGCGGCTTGGTTGCTTGGAAATTGTGTGTGATTTTGGAATCTGCAGGTCATGGGCTATAAAGGGAATTCTTCATTTGTGGAATGGTTTTCTGTCAGGTCGCTTGTTTCTTGTTAAGTCTGTAGAGGTGTCTGGAGATCAAGGGATGTCATGGTAGTTGTGAATTAGACCGCTAGAGTCTCTGCCCGAATTGGATCAATAGCGTTGGCATGGAACCTGCCTTGTCAATGGTTTAGTTCTTGGTATTAAAATTATCTCAGCTCATGTGAAAACAATCGGGTTTGAAGCAACCACAAGGGGTTTAAAGGGTGTTTGAAAGGAAAACTTCAAGAATTGATTTCGAGGAAAAAATGTAATTTAAGTGAGGGAGAATTGTAACACCCATTTCTCGAAGAAGGTTGGCCAAGACTTAAGGAATCAAAATAAGGTTTTGGAGAAAACCATCATCCACGACGTGGGATATGTATGCCCACAACGTGGCGTGAAAATTAATGAACGTGTGTTTTGGAGAGCCGCCAAGATGTGGCAATGGATGGTCATGGCATGGCAGCTATAGCAACCCAAGCCCATGTATTGTAGGGTTTCTCCCATATTTAATCCCCTTAACTCCCACTCTAGGTCATTTCCTTCAGCCTCCATCTCCCTATTCTGAAACCCTAGCCTCTTTTCCTTATTTGTGAGCTTAGTGACTCTATCATGAGGTTGATTGCTTCATTTGGTGAAACTTGGAGAATAAGGTAGTTCATTTTGGTGCAAGGAATCAAGAAAAAAGCTTGGACCCAAGATCTTCTTCTCATTTATGTGTTGTTGGAGGTTAAAAGTCCATACCTTGACCTTTGTTCTTCTTGTCTCATGTATGAGCCCATTTTTGGATGTTTTGGTCCCATTCTTGAGTGCTCTTGGAGTTTGAGGAACTCTAGAGCTTGATATGGTGCTCATTTGGTCATGAAATTCTGAGATAGTGAGAAAAGGTCTTGGTTTGAGTGTTCTTAGCCTTATTTTTTGAGTTTTGGTCATATTAAGGACTTAATGAACTTAGGGTTTAACATCTTGTCTTATGGTGAGGTCCTAATTGATAAAGTTGGAAACTTATCCATTAAGTCAGTGCGGAGAAGTAGATCTGGAAGCATGGGCTTAGATTTGGAAGGATTAAGCTCTTAATGAGAGAAATGGTGATTTTCTAGTGTCCAAGGCATGATGAAGTCAAAAATCCGTGACTACCTTGTTCTTCCATTGCCACGGCGTGGCCAAAGAGGACCATAGCGTGGCAATGTCATATATGTTGAGCATTTGACCTTATGACCCCAAGATGTGGCCAAGGAGGGCCACAACGTAGCATTTACCTTGACCAAGTTTGACCATTAACTTTTGTGACCAATTTGACTTTATGTCAAACCTAAGGGTTTTGGATTGTTGATTAAGATTCTACCTTGTTTCGTGATTAGTGGATTTGCAGGAGCTAGCAGTGCAGAAAAGGAAGTGTGCCTTAGTGTTTCGCGGTTCTTCTTTAAGGTGAGTTTTCCTCACTATACACGTGGGTCGAAGGCACCAATTACGGCCCATTAATATTCGTTATCATCTATTAGAAGGATGCCCAAGGGGCTGTATGTAGCCACGTAGGATAAACTGAGGACTCTTGATCTAGGCTTTATTGCATGTTCATTGTTTGTTTGTGTCTCTAGAGGAGGTGTAACGCTCGCAGATTCGGGCTAGTCAATTTAAAGACAATGAGCGTCAAAAATGACTTTTTGATGGAAGGTTATTTAGAAGGAGTAATCTTAACTAAGTTGTAGTATATGTTACAAGGATTCCGTACATGTAAAGAATGCCGAAATCCGAGTTATAACGAAGAAGTTATGACCTGTCGAAGTTTCGCGACAGAACCGGCACGACACTGCGCGACGTAAATAGTGAATTTACGAGAGAGCGATATTTGGCCTTAGCGATCTAAACGAAAGTCGTAGAATACATTAAACCGAGAGCGTTCATAAAAAGAACGTCCAAATATGACTTCGTATGAGGAATTTATGATTTTTCTAAGTTTCAGCTTAGCAGTATGCAGCCCAAAACTCGATATTTAGATCAAGTGATTTCTAGCCAAAAC